GGCTGAATGGCTCTTATTTCAAGCCTCCATGGTAACTTGGACTATTGACTCTTATACACTGGAAATCGTTACCTTAACAATAACTTGAGAATTATAACAACCTTTAACATGAAAATTCTTGCCTTGAACATGATTTACTGATTTGACTTAGGAATTTTGAGTCTATTCCTCGAATTAAATCAAGGAATTTCTCCCTTAAGTCTGCCAATTGATTGGCAAAATAGAAATTTTCGATAGAAAATATCTGAGGAACATGATTGCTAAGATTTGTATAACATAAATGCTTACAAATCTCTTGACGGGTCATTAACATGACTTGAATAAATCTATAATTGAATGTAGAGTTCTCAAACTTAATCCCTTTCTAAGGTTCTAAATCCACTTACCCATAATACGGGAATCTCCCTACCCGGAGAATTTCTCAACATGATAGTTGTGGAACTGTGCGACTACTGTGGCCTGAGTAGGAGCTGGATAATTGGGTTCCCTACGTGGCGGCATCTGAACATTGAGAAAGTTTAAAATTATTGAATACGTGATGATATTCTGACTGATTACTGAGGCACACAAAACTCTTGACGAGTAGCCAAAAATGGCCGATAATTACTTACGTGAAACCTGAGGAACTCTAGAGTCATATCGAAAGATACTAAAGTCTAGAGTTATGCCTGAATATACTGATCTCTAAAGTCAAGTCTGAATGTACTGAAGTCTAGAGTTATATCCGAACTCTAAAGTCTGAATCTGAATCGAGCATCTTAACTAAGTCTGATTACTGATTTCTGAGCATAGACAAAGTAATATGTTTATAACTGAAAACTGAATCAGCACTTACCTGGAGTCGGCGAGGCGTGAGCATGACTGTTCAGGTTTTGCTGAAAAATTCTGACTGAAAAACTTTTCAGAGACGCAGAAACGTGCTCTGATACCAATTGTAACACCCCGCTATTTTAATACTATCAGAGTACGCACTTTTCACAAATTTTTCTGAATAAATTAATCAAATATTCTTTTAGCGAAATCTGGTTCGGAGTGCTACCGTGAAAATCTGACATAAACCGTTAAAATTTTAAACTGAAAATAAAACGGTTATAATCTTCTAACCGACTAACATCGGATCAAAACTGTTTAAAAGTACTGAAAGTTTTAGCGGAAATGTAGCGTGGTCAAAACATAGTTAATTTATACATATCAAAACAAATGTCCTGAACAGCTCGTCAGCTCACTCCTCGTCCCCGACCCTGTGACCTGAAAAACATGAAATAAGTGGGAAGTGAGCACCAAACACTGTGCCCCGTGGAAACTCATGCTAAAGTAAAACAGTGAAAATAATTAAATATCATGATCCTGGCATATATAACTGACTGAAACTGATATCTGATATCGGTCTGAATAATCTGATACTGATCTCGTGACATAAGTCAAGTCTGAACTGAACCTGAACATCTGCCGGCAAAGTCGGACACCATGTGCACACTCTAGTGGGCAGACTAGGGCAACTAGAACCCAGAATGGACCGACGACCATTCCGAGCGGATACTGAATATACATACCTCAAACATGGTACCGTCATTATAATCAATGTCGTACTTAGTCTGAGTCCCCACCTGAATAGCTGAAAATGCAGGTAGTGCTGATGCCTGATCAAACTGAAAAATAATATAAACAATTACTAAGGACTATGCTCAGATCGATAATTTAACTGATTAATTACATTAAGATGCTCTACTCGACTAACATGACATCCGGACTTAATTGGTTTGCTAGAACCGGTTAAGTACGGAACTGAACTGATATTATTTTACTGGACTGAACTGAACCCAGAATTTTAACTGAAATTGACACTGAAATTAAGAACCGGGGCTGAAACTTTAAAATACAGATTAATCCGTAAAAATGGGGATTGGACTGGCATGCGCACCCGGGCGTGCACAACAGTTGGCGGGCGTGCTACTGGGCGTCGCCTGCAACTCCGCCGCGTACAGGCAACACGCACGCAGCCTAACTTGCGCATACGCTGCCCGTCGCGCAGTGACTGAGGGCCGGTGCGCTGCTGCCGCTATGTGCGGGCAGCGCAACACCACGGCCGACCCTTGCCGGCCGTCCGGCAACAATTGCCGGCCAAACTGACTTCAACTAATATGCTTTGACTTAACTTGAACATAGTTACTGAAATTAATTGAAAATATCAATCTTTTGCACAATGAATCGAATAGAGGCCGTGGCGGGTGCACCGTGCGCCGCCGACGGCAATAAGCCGTCACTCGACCCTTTTCCACATTTCCCCCAGCAATTCAAGAACACATAAACATGAATCATTATCTTAGGGCTGTAGC